GTGACCATATTAAATGTTTTATTCGTGTGCACAGATGCACTGATTTTCACGCAGGGTGGACAAGCTTTCCAACTCAAGCAAGAACAACAGCGAATAAGCCAGATCAATCTTGCTGATTTAATTTTAATACTTCTACAGCTGTATTAAAATAAAATCAATGCATTGAATAAGAGAGAAGATGGTCAATGCAGCGCCTTCAATTTACACCATAATAAAACAAAACATGAAAGTTCAAAGTTAAATCATGGAGATTTTTCTTTGCCAGCACGAGGGGCAAAGAGTTTCCAGTCAAATCAAGTTTCAGTCAACTCTATTTGACTGGAAAAGTGGTCGGAAACGCAGCAATGATGGAGGCTGAAGGTCAAAGGATAAATCTGAGATGCTCTGGTATCTCAGGAGGAAGTGTGGCTCCCACACTTGGAGCAATGGGAGGGTAAAGGCAATCCAAGAACATCCCAGCTCCTGGTGCTCAACCCAACCCGAGCGGGAGGAGCRGCTCCGCGGGGCCAACACAGCCCACCCTGGCGGCTCTGGTTACAGCACTGAGGCGTAAAGTCTGCTTCCCATTTGAGGAGGGCTTAAAGTTTATTGGCTAGAGGTGATGAGGAGAAGCTTTCTGAAGAATTGAGAGGGAAAATCAGAGGAGGGGTTGCATTTCGCTGTTCCATCATSATCGAAACTCATTTACCTGCAGCTCGACTACAAATGATGATGATGGAACAGCCTGACTTTGAGTGTGATTTGGCTCTGGGACTGAAGGGTTTTTAATGGGAATGCATTCTCAGGGCTGCAGAAGGGCAGTGATGATGGCAGAAGATGGATGTCTGTGTGCTTTTCTTTTGCAACACTCTGCAGCGAGGGGAGAGCAGCTGCACTGCCATGCCTGGTGCCATGAAAAATTGTTATAGGAGTCCAGACTTCTGCATGGAAATCACTGAACGATGTTGTAAAATGTTCATGTGCTGGGATCCTGAATTTTCAGGAAAACTTTCCATCAGCAGTTTTAATTTTGACGCAAGCCAAATTTTTACAGTGTAGCAGAATTCCCCTTCAACTTGTTTTTTACCAATGAAAAACTGTCTAGCCTTGAAAATATGGTATTAAAATAAATCTGACTTTAATTAGCTCTTAACCAACATTTATGCTTCTTTTCCCACCGAAATGCCGCTCTGCATGTCTACTTCTATGATTTATATGACTTGTATGACAGTATCTGTTATCTTGGTACACCAGACAGTCATATTTAAAATTTAGAATATTGCAAATATGATGCAAATATAACAACAAGGAAAAAGTCCTACAATGAAACAAAACTAATTGTGTTTAAAATTAAATAGAAGTAAAGGCTTTTTCCACTGGGYGTCTTCAGAGGCAGCAGTGTTACCATATCTCCAAAGCAGTCTCCACTGATATTTATGTCTGTTTACCTCCTTTCACAAATTCCTCCATTTTTTTTTACAGATTGTTCTTCTGACAGACAGTGTATGAAAGCAGTTTCCTTCACAACTTTTACAGCCATGCTGTTTATAGATTGAATAAAATTTCACTAAAACTCTGTCTAAAGTAGACAGAGTGATTTTAATTTTGATTCCTTGCCAATATGTGGATGCTCCAGGCAGCATCATTCACACAGAGCTTGCAAACACTGAGAAAATGAAGTTGGCAGACATTCTATAAATGCTTTGGCTCAAAATTTGGAATGGTCGCTTAACTCGTGGCCATGAGTTATTTCCTAGATTGGGGAGAATAAATAAGGCAAATTTACAGAGCTGCCTACTGGGGACAGACTTGCACCTGTCCCTGTGGGATGATGCCCACAAATAGTTTGAAAAGGTTGCTCTTGAGAGACTTGGCACTTTTTCAAAAGCCTATCCAAATGCCATGGCCTGTGACAGCTTAAGAGGGCACCTAATTAATGAGCTGCTCTTATTAAGAGTATTGGTCAAAGGAAAGGGGGGAGAGGGAAGATTGACTGAGTGAGTGCAATAAATTGCAGGAAGTCATTATCCGAGGGAGGGCTGCTTTATTAATCACCAGGAAAGCCAAAGGCTGTTAAATTTAAACGCACTGGTTAAAGTCTTTGTGGCAACCCAATCACACCCCAGTCACTCATGGATGGAAACTTCACCTTGCACATGCATTTTGAGCCAGATGAGACAAAACTTGTACAGCACCACGACCACCTACTCCAAAGAACCTACAGCTGATAATGCACACAGGACTCGACTTTTTGGGAGCACCAGAAAGGCCTTAAATAATTAGTCATGGAAGCCTGTTTCTCCAGTGACAAATTCCATCAGGCTGAAGCTCTCCAGCAACCTCCTCTGAGCTGAGTGGTGTGTTTAATTTGGTGATCCTATTTGTTAAGAGTGCTTTGTGAGGCTACACTCTCACCAAGTCAGGAATTTTCTCACTTTGTTAATCTAATAATCTTAAAATAGCTCAAAGAGCATTTGGCCTGAAAAAAAAAAAAATCAACCTGGGAACTTGCTATAGCACTGCCTTTGAGAAATTGAGCTATCTACCTCAGAGACTGCAGTGATGAAAAACCACAAGGCTGAGGTTTTCTTAACCAAGTTAAGAAATTGTGATTAATTGTGATCAATTGTGATTTCCCAACTACTTGCTTATCTGTGCTGCTTTTAAGTGGCAGGATCTATGGAAATGAGGAGTATGGGATATATCCAATAGGTTCCTTCTTTTGGAAATGTCATAAGAACACTGCTTGGGGGCCCAAGTGATACAGAAACCTTAAAACTCCTTTTTTCCTCCTCTGCTTTCTGCTGTAGCCCTCTGACAAGCTCGCCAAAGATTTCCCAGTGGTAATTTACAGAACTGGTCAGGCCAAGGTTCAYCTCTATCAATTAATTGCCTTCAAGCCTTGATGCCTTGGACATGGCCATAAGGACAGGAATTTGATGATCATGTGATGATCATGTCTTACTGGTAGAGCTGGGAAGAGCAGAGCTTGTATCAGCAGCAGTGTTGTCCCATTATTGGTACCAAATTCTCCTGCCACTAATCACATTTACTGTACCAKTACTGTCACCAGCTCAGGTGAGTTCTAGGTCAACAAAAAACAAACTTTAGGAAGCAACAAATCCCTGAACTATGATAATGTAAACCTGTTACTCCCTTGAAATCCTGGCTGCAAATAAACTGGATGCAAAAAGGAATAACCAGTGTACAGCCCCATTGTGTCCCTTCTCCAGAGCTCACCACTACTTGTGAATTCTATTAATTTAACTTGTGAGTCCTAATAATATTTCAAGATATTTTAGATCCTGAATACAGGCTCCTCAAAAATCACCTTTGTTCCACAGTCAATATAACATTCAGAGCTGCTAAACTGATTTTGTAACACAAACACGGAGCTGCACTGCTAATCACTGCATTGCAAGAACATCTTTGAAACAATCTAATTTTAAACAGAATAAGAAACATGAGCCTCCAAACTAACTTTCTTCAAAGCACGTATCTTTTGAAAGCGCATAAATATTTTAGGGTTGGGTTGGGTTTTTGTTTTTTTTTTTTTGAGCTGACAGCCACAGAATGCATTCTGATTAAAGTGCATAATACCCAGTCAAATAACAGATCAAATAGAAAGGACACTTAATACATGTGTAAATAATTTGAATTACAAATCAGACACTCTAGAAGGGGCTTGGCTCTGGCTCTGATACGGAGGATTAGGCTCTTGTATTAATACGTGCATTTGGTGCAGCTATTTTCAGAAGGATACTTCATCCATCATTGTCCTGGAGCACTGAGGAGGGCCAGGGAGTAAAGTGATCACACTGGGCTGTCAACACTGCTTGCTTAAGACTCAGTCGTGCAAAAAGTTTAATTTTCATGTGTCCCCAGCCGAAGAAGGTGCAGAGAATGAGCAGTGTTGCTCTGCTCTTGCCTTCCACAAAACCAGAAAATATTTCCCAAAAAAAAACTTGTAAAATGTTTGTGAACTTGTAAAAAGCCAATGCTATCGAAAAGTCACTGTTAAATCCAATGCACCTGTTTAAGCTACACACATTGAGCTTTCAGAATTGAGGAGAAATAAATGCAAATTAATGATTTTTATGATTTCCATAAGATTATCTTATAGATTAAATCCAGTTTTGCATTTGGGAATGTGTATGGGGACCTGTGTGACTAACTTTCATACACTAATATTTGAAAAGCATGTAGAGTCTGAACATTATGGTTTTGCAAAAGCTCTTTATATGGTCAATGTCAAAAAATAATCATCAAAAAGTCTTACCAAAACATATGGATTTGAAAGAAAAATACAAGAAGAGCTATAAAAATAATGTAAATAGAAGACAACTATGTAGCTTAAATTTTCAAAATGATAGAGAAATAAATATTAGCTTTTAAAAAATTATTAAATATTAGACTCTGAACATTTTTCACTGTTTTCCTCATAAAGTCATTACTGGTTTTAACTATCCTTTTGAAGCATAAAATTATAATAATATCTGTAATGTGACAGAATGAATCATTCCGGTTCGAACTATACAGAAAAACTTACTATCTTCTTCACTTATGCATCAAAAATATAGAATATATTCTCATCAGAACCTTAAAACTGTTTCATAAGCACATCCTTCCCATTCAATAATTCTCAGCATATCAATGTCCTGACTCTTTAAACCACATGAAATGTTGATTCCCTCTTTTCCAGAGTTTAGATAGCTTAGAATGGAGAAGCCACAAATTGCACTACAGATATCCTGCAGTTTTTAAAAAATGAACACAGAATTTGCACAATCAAGTAATTTCTCAATATCCATTCAAAGTCATAGCTTGTTGTCTAAAACAATTTGTGCCTGAAAGAAGTTTCTTAGTTTAAAAGGATCATGATCTAATGATGTTACATGGCTATTGTTCTTAATGCTATTTGTGCCTGATAAATGTGAGGTGACCTAAAAGGGTTTTTGTGCGTGCGAACTCGTAATTCCTGTAATTCAGAAGAGCCCAGGCAATGTTCTGTCTGTGCTTACCATCCTTCTTGGTGGGTTCCGGCATTTTTACGAGGATTCTTTATTCCCAGGGAGTTTCAGCCCTTCAGATGCAGCCAGTAGTAGCCCCAAGTCCAGCGGAGAGGGTGTGAGATCAGTGTGACAAGCAGAGGGTAAGAAGAATTCCTCTGCTTTATATACTGCAGCTGAAATATCAATCAAAATAGCACCTCCTCTCTTTTCAATGCAAACACTCTGAAAATTGACAGTTATGGGAAACCCTTCACATCTGTTGTCTGCAGCCTCTGCTCCCTTGGCTTTTGGAAGGAATCTGTGCTGCATTGCATGGGGCTGATGAGAACATCTATAACTTTCTAAATTCGGCCGCACAGCTTGCTCCCTGCGTCCCTCTCTGTAGCATGCTGACACGTATGCACACGCAGACAGGGGCTCAAAAAGTGGCTGCCATGCTATTAAAGAGCCCCTCCTGCCTGCAAAACTTAGAGGAAATGCCTGTGTGCGTTTATGCCTCTTCCCACARCACAAAAGTGACAAGTGGGTACAGTCAGCATGCCTGCAGTGAAACCTCATTTTCTTCCTTTAAGAGAACATGGTATGCAAAGACAGAGTGAGGAGCAGAGCATTTCTCACTATTAATGAAGAGAAAAGGATTATTGTGTTCCTGTTTTCATCAGTGAAGATCCTCTATATCCCTTCTGCTTACATTTGCTACACTTTCTTGGGTCCTTTCCCTGTAGTCACTCTCGTTTTGGCTCTGTGATGTTCCTTTCAGCATGACTGATTCATTAACTGGAGAGATGGCTACTGAGAGCTGAGATATTCCCTTCTTCACCCATCCAGGAGATCCAGCACTGCTTGCCTTTGCCAAGGCAGGAAACCAGACGAAGGAATGGAAATCCTATCTGCAGCACACGCACAGAACCACTGGGTTGCCCCCTTCTTAGGCTCCCACTTAAACCACGAGCATGCAGGCAAGAGAAATGCAGGTCAGGTTAATCAGAGGGTACTGGGATTTACTTTCTCATGCTCTTTTAGGATTTTGAGACAAAACTGTAGTAATTAGCCCAATAGATGTAGTGGTCCTCAGAGGTTTCATTGAAAGACATGTTCATACCATTATCAGGTATCAATGAGAACTTGGCTGCCAGAAAGGCTTCTCAGTGTATGAATGCACCCAAATGTTATGGAAAACCTATTTTACATTTTTGAAAAGGATTTGGAGATGCAATAGCAGTTATGTGCCTGGTTATTCTGGAGTCAGTGCATGGAAGTTTCCTCTGCAACCTGTTTTTTCCTGGCTATTTAACCCTTTATAAAGACTAGGCATTTCATTCCTTTTTTAGAGACCATCATCTGAATTTTTCTGCTCCACTCATTGTGGTGTTTATTATTTGACTGATTCATGTGCCTGTAAAACACAGAGGTAGGCAAGACTTCTCCCTGCAAGAATTTAGACGAGGATTACTAAAGCTGAACTTCCTCCTTTGTGTCACATCACTGTCTAGGTAAAGCTGCTGGTAGCACTGAAATAATTCCTGTTCCTGGAAAGAAACCCTGGAATGGTGACTGGGGATTTTGTCCCTCTGTGAGAATGGGGTATAAACAGATCTGATAACAAGGCAGAGATCCCTTTTTTATTGTTCCCCTTTCCTCTGCCCGCCCCCAGGCACCAAACCCTGTGATGGTTGGAACCAGAGGGGGATGGAGAGCAGCTGCTGATGCTCTCCAACACGGTGCTTCCTCAATGCTCCCCCTTTGTCAGAGGCAAAGGTATTTTGCTTTGCATTCTCCCCATCACGTGCCAAGAGGTGCTGAGAGCCGTGCCTCTGGAGATTCCTGCTAATACAAACAGGATTAAAGCGTGGTCACACTCCAGGAATGGTGGGTTAGAGAGGACCTCCACGGCAATCCCACAGTGAGAAAGGGCTGCTGGCAGGTGCTGATCCTTTCAGCCTTCCTTTGCAGCAGGAGGGAGAAGGATTTTCAGGAAGACAGAATCTGATTCATAGTCCACCTTTATGCTGCTGAATAAATCAGAGACCATTTGCTGGACCAAGTGAAAGGGTGTGGTTTTCATCTGCACAGCAAAACTTGTTCTACATCCTTATTCATGAGACTGCCATCATAATGGGTAATGTATCATGGATAATGGGTGATGGATGATAGAGAATGGAGAATGGAGAATGAAAAATGGGTAATGGGTAATGGATAATGGATAAAATACACAGGAAATGGTTACTGGACATGCCTGGGTTGTGGTCAGGTGTAGGTGAGAGAATTGTGGCTGCCCCAAAATAGTACCAGGGAGCACCAAACCATTTCCCAGGTTTGTAATCACAGGACAATATCTGAACTCACTCCCTAGCCCTGCTTCATTGATGGGTCTAGACATAAGCAGAAAAATTAAATTGGCTCTATAACCTCTGGTAAGCAGGAAGGCACAAAGATTGGTTATGAGTAGAAAAAATCATGAAATATACCCATTTGCCTTTGTGTTCATGGAAAGATCTGAGCTTCACCAGGTCTGTGCTTGTAAGGGCCAACTGTGAGTGCAATCTCTTCAGCTGCACAAGGTAAATTGCAACTGTGGAGCAGCAGCCATCCAAAAATTTGCTAATCCTTTCTTTCTTTCCTACCTTTACATCATACTTGCATAATTCATTGCAGTTCRTGCAATGTTCTCATTTACTCTGATAAAAAATTCCTGTGCTGCAATTTTCCTGTAATGTATTTTTTAATGGTATGGTAGTAGATGCCACTGATTTAGACTGTGATGTCTCAGTGCACCTTAGCACTAACACTGACAGGGAAAGTAGTTTATTTCCTAAGTAAGCAGCCCACATTTTATTTGTGTCAATCTAATTCCCAACTGAGTCCATGCCTCAAAGCACCTACAGGTATTTCATACTCTGATCTAAGACCTAATAATTTCAATTTATTTTTCCCCCTGCCCAAATATTGTCACAACTGTGACCCCATCTTGATTGTGCTGTAACAATCAGTATTTTGGTGCTGCTGGGACTTCCACTCTTACACTTCTTTTCCACATTGGCAGAGTGCATGATAGTCATCAAGTTTATCACTCTGTAGAAAAGATGAGTCGATTTTGGCCAGCAGTGGTCCAGGTTGCTTTAAGACTGACAAAAAAAAAAAAAAAAAAGAAAAATACTGAAAAGAAGGAAATGCCTGGTGGTCATTTCTAAGCTTAGAGAGATCACAGAGATGACTAAACACACTTAAAATTACCCATCCACCCAACCTGCACATTCTCTGTCAATAAATGCATTTATCTATTGATTTTATGAAGTTTAAATTTTTAAGCATTCTTTTCCTGCCATCCTGGCCTGCTTCCCTTTTTATGGCAACCACTCACCTGATTGGATTGCAGTTCATCTTGTGAGGGAGCTGACAAGAGGAAGCAGTTTACTCCTCAGTGCTGAACATGTGGTATTTGAGCAAGTGAAAGGGCCATGAACCATCTCTGGACTCATCCCCAGCCCTGTTCACCCAATGACTGAGCCAAACCTTCACAGAAATTCTGAGGTGGAAGGAGCTGAGCTCCACCTTGTTCTCAGCCTTACTCCTGATCCTCAGCAGACAGAACCACAGGCTCTGGCACCCCCAGCCATTCTTTCATTAACTCACACTGGTGCTAAAGCCCCCTTGCTTGCACATCTCTGGATGGAATGTCCCTTCTCAGAACCCGATATTCTCCCTCCTCACATTGCCTTGTGCCCTTATGTTTTACCCCTCCCCAAAAGTGAATGTCTTCTGAACAAAATTTATCCTCAGCGCAGCGTGGCTTTTGTGTGTCACCACAAACCCTCTTCCTCCACCACCTCAGGGGCCAAACATGTGAAACTCTCTGAGCCTTTCCCTTCCATGCCTGCCTCAATTAATCTTCTGTGCTCTTTTTCCAGAGCATGACTGTCCTATTTTAACTCTCTGCAGCTCCTTGAGCAGTTTTCAAACGGCTGCTAATCAGGGAGTCAGATAATTAAATCATTCTCTCCTGCCTGTTTTTAATAAATTCCCTTGGTCAAACATCCAGACCCACATTTGCAGTTGCAGCTGCTGGATCTGCATCAATAACTTTGCATTTGCTGCTATTTCAAGGACTGAACTCTCTCACTTGYTTCAGTCTCTGCTCTATTGAATGCCTGTCTGCTTGTTGCCAGAGAAAAATCTTCATTTTGTCACCAAGCCAAAGGATCAGAGCACTCCCAGGAGATCTSAGAGACAAATCCTTAACCAAAGTATTTGACCAAATGGTAGTCGTATGGTTTAGCTTTAGGTAGTTCTGTGACAGATCTTTGTGATCCTTACAGATCCCTTCCAACCGTAGATTCTCTATTTAAAATATTCCCATTGGAAAATTGTATCGATATTGAGAAAAGCTGATCAATTGAAATAAAAATGGCAGGCAAAAAGGTAGATGAGAATGGTGAAGGATTCCCAGTCCACACAGAACAAAATGCTAGTGTTTGTTTATATTAAAAAAAAAACAGCATTGTGAGTTTTTTTTCTTAATAAAGAATCCAGAGATTTGAAATCTCATAGAACAGAAAAAAAAATCTTCATCAGCCTTAACATCTGGAGCTTTGGAAACAGTCATTTGCAGGGTCCAAGAATGAAGGATGAAGAACAAAAACCAGCAGCAGATGAGCTTCCCCTCTCATCAGGAGGAACACATAAAAGCATACATTTATCCAGGAGGACACTGGAATGAGATTTGACAATGTCCAAGCCCCATCCCAGTCCCAAATCCCCTCCCATGAGGCAAAAGGATGGTCAGGAAGGAAAGTTCCTGTAACACTCCATGTTTGCAGCAGAATTGCATCAGCAGAATTGCATCAGATGGCATTTTCTGCTCCAATTCTGTCTTTGCCACGTGGGCTCTCTGCAATCACACACAGGACATTATAGATTCTGGAGAATTTATTTATTGTTGTCAGTGATATTCGATACCTGCTGATAATTTTTTCTTTTCTACCAACAAAAATAAAAAATCTGTTATTTCAATTTTGTACCATGCTGGCAAGCAGA